ACAAACCATGTTTGGTTTTGAATGCGGTCTTCCATTCATCTCCCTCCTTCATTCGGATCTGATGGTAACCACTTTTCAAATCGATTTTCGTAAACACACTAGACCCATAGAGTTCATCTAGCATATCATCTAGGCGTGGGATGGGATGGCGATACTTTACCGTGATGTTGTTTATGGCTCAGCAGTCCACACACATCCGCCAAGTTCCATCTTTCTTTGGCACCAGGAGTACAAGGTACAACACAGAGACTCAGGCTTTCTCGGATGTAGCCTTTGGCCATCAGTTCATCGACCTGGCGCTGAAGTTCCTTAGTTTTGGTTGGGTTAGTGCGGTACGCTGGCCGGTTTGGTAGAGATGCTCTAGGCATGAGGTCTATCTGGTATTCTATGCCTCTGATCGGTGATAGTCCTCCTGGATTGTCTTCGGGAAAGACATCGGCGTACTCCTGCAAAACCCATGAAACATTGCTCGGAAGTTCCGGCTCTGGATTAGAAGTGCTAGCCAAAGCTGATTTGAACATGAGCAAAATAAAAGGCTGCATCTCAAGCATGGCCTGTTTAATCTCTCTCGGCCTCACAAAAAGAGTCTCTCTCCTTACGGGTTGGTTGATTAAGGCCTTTTGAGGTGGTTCACTCGAGATCTCACTCACATTTTTGGTGGTGGATGTGTTTAGGGGGTCACTCAAGGTAGCTTTGCCTTTATTACTCCTTTCCAGTTAGATCTGATCCAAGTAAACCTCACGTGGAGATAGAGGTGCCAAAGCAACCTTCCGTCCTTGGTGTTCAAACGAGTATTTATTAGAAAATCCATCATGGATCGCCTTACAGTCGTACTGCCACGGCCGTCCCAGTAGGATGTGTCCAGCTTCCATAGGTAGGACGTCACATAACACTTCATCCTTATATCGTCCGATCTTAAAGGGTACCGTGACCTGCTTGGTGACCTTGAGCTGTCTCTGATTGTTGAGCCATCTGAGGTTATACGGATGCGGATGTTTCGTAGTTTGCATCCCTAGCTTATCCATCATACTCTGGCTAGCAACGTTTGTGCAACTCCCTCCATCAATGACCATACTGCAGGTCTTTCCCATGACTAAGCATCGCGTGTGGAAAAGATTCTCCCTCTGATCCTCTTCTCGGACTGGTTCTTGTGAAACCAACATTCGTCGTGCCACTAGCAACTCTCCTTCAGCCGCATATTCTTCTTCGGCTTCCTCGTCATATTTTGGCTCGGTTTCGCTTTCTGCTTCAGATACGACTTCGCCGGTCTCTAGAAGGATCATCGCTCTTTGGTTTGGAAATTTATTCGCATAATGTCCCTTGCCTCTACATTTAAAACATTCAATGTCTCGAGTCCTGGTTGAGGTGGTCTCGGCTTTGCCTTTGTAGTCCGCGGAGTTTTGACTGGGTTTGGCTTCCGTCTTCGGCCGTGTAAGGTAAACGGTTTTATCTTCTCAGTAAGCTGGCCGTGAACTGGAACCGAAGGTAAACCTATTCGTCCCCTTCCGCTTGAGCTGTTGCTCAATGAGAATCGCCTTATGTAGCATCTCGTGCATGTCTTGGTACTCCTGTAACTCCATTCGATCTTGCAAGTCTTGGTTTAACCCACTTAAGAACCTCGCCATCGTAGTGTCTTCTGGTTCAAAGACATCGGCCTTTATCATTAGCCGCTCCATTTCCTGGTGGTAGTCTTCTACGGACTTAGTGCCTTGGTCAGTCGTCTGAGTTTGGTGTGCAACTCACGATGGTAATGTGCAGGTACAAACCGTTGCCGCATTAAAGTGGCCATCTCTTCCCAGGTTTCCACTGGTCGTTCCCCATTTCTTCTTCTGCTGATCACAATCTGATCATACCAATCTATCGTGTATCCGTTGAATTCTGAAGCCGCTAGATTTATCTACTTCCTCTCCAGAAGATCTTGACATCCAAAGATGATGTTGACCTTTTTTTCCCATTCCAGGAAGGCGTCCGGGTCGTTCTTGCCGTAGGGTCGCGGTTTCCTCCTGCTCGTCCACGGTCGGTTGCCTTGCGGCCTTACTTGGCTGCTATCGGATGAATGGTTATCAGCGTAGAAGGGGTTGTCAATCTCTTGTTCTTGGTTCTGATCTCTGCGGATATGCATAGGTTCCTCGCGATTCTGATCGTTTCCCTCCGCTTGTCTTGGCTGTCCTTCTGATTTGCTCAAAATTTAATCTCTAAGCTACTCTGCAAGAGCATAGATGTGCAGTTGTAGTATGTAGGGGTCGAACCACAGAAAAAAGAGATCACTCAATAAACCTTATAGAGATCAAATTACACTAAGCAGAAATATTGGAAATGATTAGCAATGCAACATAAATAAACTAAGTAACAGTAAAAACGGTTTGTAAGATTCAGATGGATGGAGATTAGGTCTAGGGCGTTTTTCAAGAGATCAATGAATGCAGATCAATCGATTAGCCAGGGTTCAGGTTTTAGCACGGTTCTTGAACTCGAAACACAGAATTATAATTAATCAACTTCCGTTGTGAGAATTATCTAAAGTTACCTGAAATTTGGTTTTCTATCCATTTTGTTAAGCTTTTCCCAAAGTTACCTGAAAAGAGTCTTGGAACTACAAATACTAGAAAAACGTAATAAAAGTACTTAAAAGCAATTAAAAACATAGAAAAATTATTTCAAAATGATCCATAAAAGTGGTCAAAATACGGTGTTATCACTCGTCCCAGTGATATCTCCTCAGCTTTCTCAGGAACTTCTTCTTCGCGTACCCCTTAAAGTTCTCAGGCTCAGCCTCTGCAGCGAGATAATTGGCAATATCAGCATACCAAGGACGTTGGGTGGCAGATACAGCAGCTGAACTGATCTCAGGAAGTCTGCTTCGAATTTGAGAAGTCTCTGTGTTCTGCTGCGCAAGGTGACACTAACGTTTCTCCAATTCGAAAAGTCTGCAATTCTTCGTCAAATCTGCTCTGAAACCCAGTTTCCACTTAGTATACATTCTCCTCTGGCAGAAAATCGTCTATGGGTACGTCCTCTTCAAACCTGATGCGTGAAAGATGGTCTGCAACACCATTCTCAACACCCTTCTTATCTCTGACCTCTATATCAAACTCCTGAAGAAGTAAAACCCATCGCAGTAACCTTGGCTTTGCATCCTTCTTCTGCATCAAGTATTTGAGTGCAGAATCTGTGTGCACAATAACCTTCGATCCCACAAGGTAGGGTCGAAATGTCTCAAAAGCAAAGACCACAGCCAACAGCTCCTTCTCAGTAGTAGCATAGTTTCTTTGAGCATCATCCAGAGTTCGACTGGCATAGTAGACTGCATGAAGCTTCTTGTCCTTCTTCTGTCCAAGAACAGCACCAACAGCAAAATCACTCGCATCACACATCACCTCAAAAGGCAAATTCCAGTCAGGAGGCTGCACAATAGGGGCGCTTATCAAAGCTTGTTTGATCTGTTCAAATGCAGCAAGGCATTAAGAGGATCTGTAAACTCAAACTTGACATCTTTGCATAGCAGAGCAGTAAGAGGACGTGCAATCTTGCTGAAGTCCTTGATAAATCGACGATAGAACCCTGCATGACCTAGAAAGCTTCTAACCGATTTTGCAGAATCAGGTGGTTGCAAACTCATCATGACGTCAATCTTCGCACGATCCACTTCGATACCAGCTTCAGAAACTTTGTGCCCAAGAACAATCCCATCTCTGACCATAAAATGACATTTTTCCCAGTTAAGGACCAAGTGTTTTTTTTCACAGCGAGCCAATACCTTGGAGAGATTATCCAAACAGTCTTTAAAAGATGATTCATAAACTGAGAAATCATCCATAAAGACCTCCATGAAATCTTCAATCATGTCAGTGAAGATAGAAATCATACATCGCTGAAAAGTCGCAGGAGCATTACAAAGTCCAAAGGGCATTCTGCGATATGCGAAAGTGCCGTATGTACATGTAAATGTGGTCCTCTTCTGATCATCTGGGTGAATCTGGATCTGGAAAAATCCTGAGTACCCATCGAGGAAGCAATAGTAGGGATAGTTTGCAAGTCTCTCCAGCATCTGATCAATGAAGGGCAATGGAAAGTGATCTTTCCTGGTTGCTGCATTCAGCTTCCTGTAATCGATACACATCCTGTGTCCAGTCACTGTGCGCGTTGGGATCAGCTCATCTTTGTCATTCTTCACAACTATAACTCTTCCTTTCTTAGGAACCACGTGCACAAGACTGACCCAACCACTATCTGAAATTGGATAGATGATCCTAACTTCCAATAGCTTCATGATCTCCTTCTTGACCACGTCTTTCAAATTAGGGTTTAACCTGCACTGGTGTTCGATCGGTGACTTCGACTCATCCTCCAGGTCAATTCGATGCATGCACAGATCTGGTGAGATACTTGAAATATCATCAAGAGAATAGCCAAAAGCTTTGCAATGCTTGCGCAGCTTACTCAGTAGTAAGGTAATCTCTGCATTGTTCAAAGAAGAATTGATAATGACTGGATAAGTGGAATTAGATCCTAAAAATGCATACCTTAGTCCTGCAGGGAGCTGTTTGAACTCGATCTTGGGTGCCTTCTCCTCACTCCAGTCGGAGAATTGCTTGGCCTTTGCAGGAGGCACAAGTTGATCTATCTGCGCTGTCAACTGCATGACATGCTCGCTGGAATCCAACATCTTCAAGTAAGATGCTGAAGTTTCGTCCAAGTGCTCAACTTCAGTTGCAGATGTGGTCAAAGCTCTCTCCAGCGGGTCTGTGGGTCGCATCTCATTGAAGATCTCCTCTGCAAATTCTGTGAGTGTGTCCACATAGAAGGTTTGACCATCGATGGTGGGCTTCTTCATCAGCTTGTCCATGTCAAAGTTCATCACCAGATCTCCAACATTTAGAGAGTGATCATGCCCTTCCTAACATAGATAATATCACCTGCTGTAGCTAGAAAAGGTCTCCCAAGGATAAGAGGATCCTTAGGCTCCTCTCCATACTCCAGAACCACAAAGTCAGTCGGTATCATGCAGTCTCCAATCTTGATTGAAACATCTTCAATACTCCTTCAGGTATCCTTGTCAATCGATCAGCCAGGATAAGAGATATCCTTGTTGGCTTGAAATCAGTCATGCCGAGATTGACAGCGACTGAATATGGCATGAGATTGACACTTGAACCCAGATCACACAGCGATCTCTTGAATCTCTCTGTGAAGATGGAGCAGTCCAAGACAAAGCTTCCTGGATCCGACAGCTTCTCTGGAATTCGGTTATGAATCACAGCACTGACTTGCTCAGAAATCATCATCACTCCTTGTTCATGGCTGAGATTATTGGTCACCATTCGCTTCACATAACGCCTGATAACAGGAGTGATTTTCACAGCATCAACCAAAGGTATCTCAATCACAAGATTTTCCATCAAAGCCTTGCATCGTGCATCGTCGAGCTCTTGCTTGGACTTCCTAGGGCTCCTTGGGTAAGGAACCTTAGGTTTGTAGACCTTCTCCTCAGCAGATTTCGGACTTGGAGCAATAACAGCTTCGCTCTGCGATTGGTGACGCGCGACACTAGTTTTGGTGTCGTTCGACACCGGCTCTGCAATTTCAAGAACTTCTTCAAGATCTTCCAAATCGACGACCTCAGCTGCCGGTGGCTTCTTTTTGGGCTCAGAACTCAAATTTTTATCACTCCTCAACGTGATGGCACTGCAGTTATGCCTCGGATTGGTGTCAGTCTTCCCAGGAAGAAAACCTTCTTGCCTTTTAACAGAACCTGCAGTTTGGGAACCTGCGTATCAAGCTGCTTGACATGGGTGTTTAAAGCTTCGATTTTCCCATTCAGATCAAGGTAGAGAGCATCCATCTTTCCATTGAAGTCCACGGTGAGCTTCTGCTGTCCTTCTAGAATCTGTTCTAGCATAGACTTCATCTCATTATCAGAAGTTTGAGGTTGAGCTGAAGGAGTGATGTAGTTTCTGGAAAAACTGTTATTGGAATAAGGCTTCTGGTATTGAGGCTTAGGCGTGTAACCAGAGAAGTTCTGATTGCTGCTGAAGGTGTTTCTCTGGTTGTTTCCACTGTACCTACTGTTACCTTGCTGATTACCAAACCTCTGATCCTGAAACCCTGATCCATTGACAAAGTTGACATCTTCCTCCTTAGCTTCATCCTCAGGCTCGAAACTCTCCACTTCCTGTGCGAATCTGACAGACTTCTTACCCACTAGAATACTATGCACAGAGTCAAGCTTAGCTTTCACCTCAGTAATCTGCGATCTATCCATGTTCTCAGCTTGCTTCTTCCTCTCAAGATCAGCATTCTTGGTGCTATTGCTAGACGCCAAGTTTTTGATGAGCTCAACGGCTTCGTCTGGGTATCTTGTGTTGAAGTTTCCATTGCTTGCTGCAACAAGAGCCATCTGATACCTCCAATCAATACCTCTGAAGAAGATACCTAACAGCTGCACATCGCTGAAGTCATGATGGGGGCAGTCTCGCTGGTAAGACTTAAATCTCACCCAAGAAGCCTTGAACGCCTCAGTTGGTTCTTGAGAGAAAGTCGAGATTTTTGTTCTCAATTCCTCAGACCTAGCATCATCGAAGAAGTTGTGCAGGAAGGCATTCCTGGTCTCCTCCCAAGTAGTGAGTGATCCTAGCTCCACTGCTTCAACCAGTTAACTGTTTCTCCAACAAGAGAATAAGGAAACAGCTTGCAGAGGAGGAAATCATTGGACACTCCATTGTATTTGATGCTGGTGACCAAGTCCTCAAACCTCTCGATGTGATCCATAGGGTGCTCATGAGAGTGACCATGAAAAGAATGCTGACCCACAAGAGTGTAGTACACAGGTTTCAGCTCAAAATCGTTCCTTTGAAACACAGGGGCGCGAATCGCAGACCGATTTGCATAGAACTGCTCAGGCCTGTTGTAATCTCCAAGTGTTCGTCCACGGCCAGATGCAGGTGCATGTTCCCTCACATTCTGATCTTCTGGAACGTTCCTCTGATTTGGAACGATCACAGCATTACCATGCGGTGCAGGTGGTGGATTCTGGTCAACAACATCTACTGGTAAAGATGCTGGTGGAATGATGTTACCATCTCCATCAAGCCTTTGGCCCCTCGCATTGCACACATGACCCTCTTGGTCTTTCCAGACTCCAGCATCATCACGAACAAGTCCGTTGGTGTTCTCCATCTCTGCTGGTTGCTTTGCCTTTCTGTTTCGTTCGCTCTAACTCTGCGCTCTTCGTTGCTCAAGTTTACTAGCAGGATGTCTTTGTTGCTTCTGCTTCCATGAGTATGCATTAACCTGAAGTACCAAAAACAAAGAGAGAAAACAAAATAAGTAAATTAGGTTATAAAAATGAAAGGTGTCGCGCGACACTAAGAAAAACTTAGTCGAAACTCAAAAACTAGGTTTAATGGCGAAATCAAGTCCCCGGCAACGGCGCCAAAACTTGATCTGCTCAAAATTTAATCCCTAAGATACTCTGCAAGAGCACAGATGTGCAGTTGTAGTATGTAGGGGTCGAACCACAGAGACAAGAGATCACTCAATAAACTTTATAGAGATCAAATTACGCTAAGCAGAAATATTAGAAATAATTAGCAATGCAACAGAAATAAACTAAGTAACAGTAAAAACGGTTTGTAAGATTCAGATGGATGGAGATTAGGTCTAGGGCGTTTTTCAGGAGATCAATGAATGCAGATCAATCGATTAGCCAGGGTTCAGGTTTAAGCACGGTTCTTGAACTCGAAACACAGAATTATAATTAACCAAATTCCGTAGTGAGAATTATCTAAGTTAAAATCATAGAATTCCAAATTCCTTTGCCAATCCTACAGATGTAAACCAGCTTTAATGCACAAGTTCGATATGTTCACAAAGCATGTAAACCAAATTCCTTTGCGAATAGCTACTTTGCTCACCCTAGGTTCTTTCCAGTTATTCAATTACACTTCCGTGTCAATTAAGCAACCTAAGATCTAAGTTCTAGGTGATCAGTCCAGAATTAGCATAAAGAACAACCTAAGATGAAGAACTAAAAGATATGAACCCTAACTAGCAAGTTAATCAAACATTCAAAGAAAATCCTAATTAAACCTTAAACCTAACAGGTGATCTACTCATGATTATTGGAACAAAAAACATGATGAATAGAAAGCAATAGATTAAATCGAAATAGATAAAGGGGTTCGAAATCTTCTCTCTAAACGGACAGAGTTCAGACTTGTCTCCCCTAGCTCTCAAAATCGCCCAAAGCAAAAACTCAGAGTATCTCTCTCTCCAAAAATCTCCGGTATCGATAAAAAAGGAATAAAAAATCCTATACATATCTCTAAAACACGTTTTGGGCCTTCTTGGAATTATTTGGGAACTTCTGGGCCCAACTCCTTCTTCAAACAGGAAGCAAAATCGCCTTTTCCTTATTTCTTTGACAAGTGTCGAGCGTCACTCTCCATGGTGTCGAGCGACACTAAAGCACAAAATCCATCCTTGACGAATTTGATCCTGATTAAGCTCCAAAGTGCTTTAAAATCTCCAGTTAAGCTCCAAACGTACTTAAGACCTCTAAAGACTCCAAAAGACTCAAAAAACACTAAAAAGACTCTATAAATAAGACCTATACCATGGTTTAAAACCATAAAAACCATGATATATCACCTTCAAGCCGTTCCATACGTTGGCTCATGCGTTCCATCATTTCGGTTATCTGATTAAGCTTGGCCTCCATCTCCTTGGGGGTATACCAACGTATGTGATTACCGTCGCGGAACGTGTAGAATTCGCAATCGTTCAGAGAAAAGTCAGATGACATACAAGTACCTCGCAAAATGAACAAACACGTTAGTAAATGTGTTCCTCACAAGTGTTTCTCTCTTTGATTCACTCACTCTCTTAAAGTCCTCACAACGCACTAGAGTTTCTCTCCGGTTCTAAGTAAACTAAATCGACAACTCGATTTAAGCCCTTAATCGAAACGGTGAATCAAGCAAGTTGGAAGTTTAAGAGACAAGAAGATCAGATAAAAAGAAAAGAATTCGGATCGTTTTTTTTTTAAAACTTTTGGACTTCTTTCTCTTTTTTTTTTATAAAATTTTTGACAAAACGATTTACAAGAGATAGATGAGAAAAGACTGAATTTTAAAAGACAAAGAAAGATAGTACCGAATTCGCAAGTGCGTGGCTCTGATACCACTTGATAAGATTCGTCCTAGAATTGTCACACACTTGGTCTGGTGGAGGTTGATAGATCCTTGATTCCAGATCGTTTTCGAGAAAGAGATGCTAAGGCGTGAGTGTAAACCCGAATATCCTTAGGCCCAATTTCAAAGAAAGAACGAAAACGAGGGGATGGAACAAAGAAGAACAAGGGTTGCGATATCGGATGTTAGGGTGTGAGACAAGTCCCAAAAATCCCTAAGCCCCAGATATGACTACAAACTCTCTCTCACTCTTTGTAAGCGTAGGCTGCGTCAAGCAGGATGAAACTACTTGATAAACCAGAACGATCCAATGGCTAACCACCAAATATCGATAAGTTCTCGAAGAACAAAAGAGAAAACTCAAAGAAAATTTTATTAAGAGAAAAGTGATGATCTCAGTCTGAGTACAACAATGCCTTTATATAGAGGCATAAGAAGACCATCGATCATACATAGGGAAATAAAAGACAATAAATGAAAAATGAGAAACGTTGAATAACGATCAGATTTCCGGACTGACCCTTCGCATCCTCTCGCTAAACTCTTGAACTTCTAGCCGTTATACCAAGCTGCGAATCGAACCATGGTCGTGAGATGGGTGTGCCTTAACCTCGTTAAAACCCCATTCGATAAACCCAGTGGGACAAACCCGAATGCAAGGAAAAAGAGTATAAAACAGCACCCCAACCAGGTTAGTTCGGACCTGAGTACATGATTATGGTCATGGCCTTATGAACTGGTGTTGAGTCTGTTGCTTGGCCTTGGCTCCTAAGACCGGTTAGCACTCGCTGGATCGCTCCCGTAAGCATTTTGGTACGTGACCTGGTCATTGGACCGGCTGGCACGGCCATGACATCATCTGGGTCGGTAGCTTGGTTTTGTCCCTCGGCCTAAACCTCGACTTGTGCCTTGTCCTTTGTTTCCATCGGTTCCATAATTCTATCTTACTATCCTGTTGTATATCGTCTTTTCCTATAGGAATTAGGAACTGTATGTTTATTCTAAACTAGATTTATAATCCGCGTGTTGCGCATAATTTTATTTTTAAACAGTTAATTCATTATATTTATCTTCCTACTATTCTTGGTTATTAGACTTATTTTCTATCTTCATATTATCATAGTTTGTTTTTTTTTTGTCTTCTTTCTCATCTTTAATATTTTTGTCCTCGTATTTTTTTGAAATTCTTCTTTATCAGTTTTGTGTTCTTCTTTTTCTTCTTTATTTTTCTTTTTTTTTCATCTTCCTCTTCATCTTCTTCGATTTGTACTTTTTTTTTCTTTCTATTGTCAACAGCCTAAATACCTAGAACGGTTCAACTTCTTTTTATTTTATTTTTTATTTCGATTTTTTTCATTTTTTTCTGATTTCGTTTCGTCTCTTATTTTTACTTAGCTCGTGTATGTATTCTTCTTCTTTTATTTTGTCTCCATCTACATGTTTTTCTTTATATTTTGATTTTTTTCTTCTTTCTCCTATTATTCTAATTCTTTTTCATCGTTTATTATTTTCATTTTCATCCTCGTCTTTTTCTTTAACAATGTCTTTTTATTGTTTTTCTCAATTTTTACTCTTCTTCTTCTTAATAAAAAGTAATAATTATAAACAATGTGTGAATTAATTAAGTCATTAAATTTAGTGTTAATGTTATTTTTATTATTAAATGAAAATAATATTATTTTAAAATATATGAATTAATTAAATCATTAATTTTAGTTTTATTTTTTTATGCTGATGTGGACACCTTAGATGAAGAGAAAACTCTTTTATTATATAATAGATTTTACAATATTAACTTGTATTTTATGACTTTGTTTGTCCCAATATTACGAATTTACGATGCTAATATTTTACATGTATTTTATCGTGTTTTTTTTAGTTATTATTATTTTCATTTGAGTAAAAATATCGCTTTATCTAGAATGCAGATTGCACTACTGAAAGTCCATGGAATCGTTCTTTTCACCTGAAATTTTTTTATTTATGTTTGATCAGTTAAAATGCTAGCTGTTACGCTTTAAATATTTTGAACAGTTTAATGAACAAACTATTTGAAAGCTACAAGATAGACACTATACTCTAACATGAATTACTTCTTATTATATAAAAAAAATTGAAGATAGTTACCTATCTAAATAGTTGATGACCATAGTTGCAGCTTGAATATAGTTGAACATGGTTACAACATCGTTGCATTTGTCATATTATTTTGTATAATTACGATTATTCCCACATTTTTGTATAAAATCAGAACAATAACAAACTATACTCTAGGTCTTCTTAATTAGCAAGTAATAACCCTTGTTGAGGAAAATATTATTTCTATAAACTCAAAAACTACGTTATGTTGTAACTGTTGTTTAGTTCATGATCATTCTATCACTAGTCGACACAGTTATCCGATACGTGCCACATGTATACGGAAAGAGTCACACTCACATTTATACGTATATATAAAACTCTTTTTTTGGTCGAACGTATATATAAAACTAAGATTTAAAAAAATTATTCATAAAACACTTTAGGCCTCTGGTACCTCGGATGGTTGTGTAAGGTTGGCGTGCGCAGGCCACGCGCTGGGGTCTTAATTAGATGGTCCTATTACAATTCAAACTGGCTTTTGACATTTCGCTTTATATATAAAATGAAATTTGGCATAAATATTTTTTATTATATTCGATATTTTGGATGTCCTCTGGACTCTTTTTTTTTTTGATCAAAGATGTCCTCCGGACTTCTTCTGCATCCTCGCGGACCAAAATGAAATTAAAATCTAATTCGGTGATAGGTAATGATTTCACTAAATGAAAGGGATAAAGCTAGGATCTGTACGTGGCGTTGCAATTTCATCAAAAATAAATAAATCTGCGTTATGTACGTTTTTTTCGTCTAGTCTAATACTCCAACAGGCTTTGTCAAACAATTAAAAACAACGAGATATTGTAAGAGACTACAAAAGAAAATGATTTGATCCAAGTTGACTTCCAATTGGAGAACTACTACTACAAAAGTTCTTTAATTTGATCCCCAATTTCGGTCTAAAACTTTGGTTTTGAAGAATCATGACCTCTAAATTCATTAAGAGAAACAAAAAAACTATAGGCTAATTGAGTTCTTCAATCCGTCATCTGTGAAAGTGAATATATTTTCTATGTGCGTCCACCTTGTTAACAGGGAAAATATACATAAGTGGGTTCAGATGAATCAAAAATGTACATTAATCGCCAAAATAATAGTTGTGATGTAAATTATATTTGAACAACGGCACGAAATCAATTACACCATCATTGACTTTTTATTTGAAAAAAAAATAACAATTACGCAACCAAAAATAAAATATACTTAAATAATAAACCACGATTGAAATATGGTTTAATGAAGAACGTGTGGCTCGAAGAGGACATTTGGGCCAAAAAAGAGTTGACTAATGACTTGTACACCTCTCCCGCCAAGTAAAAGCCGTTTTCAAATCTTTCTTACAAACTCGCACGTGTCTCCTAGGATGTCGGAGTGGCTCAAAAAGTTGACTTTTACTTTTTAATAAGAAAGTCTTTCTCGCGCTGAATTTATTTCCTAATATAATATTCCAAAACGCAGAAAACGCAAAGATCAACAAACAGAATGGGGTAACATCACGAATCCCGCTCTCTCAAAACGCGTGTGAAAAATACAAAACGGTTTATTGAGAAACTCTAATGGGCCTATATACCATATTTCATATTGGGCCTTAACATGTGCATAAACTTTTATAAAAAAAAACACAAATAAAAAAGGAAACACTTGAGACCATGGGAATGAGAAGAAAAGGAAGAAGAATCCATATTATCTGTCCATTTCAGGTCGAGTAACCCAACTGTATTTGTACAATCCTTTTTTTAATTTTTTTTGGTTAAAGTTTATTTTATTTTTATATAAATTCAATAAATGACAAAACTATTTCAATACAAACAAAACGATATAAGACGTAGAAGTACGATTACTTGTTAAGCTTAATCGAATAATCACTTAATCCCAAGCTTCAAATTTCCAGGTACTTGATGTTCTCACTCGGATCCAAAGCTCCATGTCAAAATATTTGGTGGAACTTTTCAGGAACTTTATTCACTTCTTCTCAATTTTTACTGAGAATGTCCCAATTTTTTTTTACCGTTTTTACTTATAATCGTCTATTACTATTTGGTACATAGATCAAGCCCAAAGAAGAAGACGAATAAGAAAGCAAATGGTCATTAGAATAAGAATAAGCGGTACAATACACAAAAGCAACTAAATCATGGCATTTGGCAAGAAACAACAACAGCAGAAGCAACAACAAGAAATACAACATCAAACGACAGCAAAAGAATAAGAAACATTACAAACATGTGCAAAGTGTGTGAGACAAAGATGGTGATGTGCTAAAGAGCTTAGCTTCTCATTTGGAAGGTGGAGGAGTAAAGAATGGGATGGTAGGAATGCTGGTGGGAATATTGAATGGGAAGTTGATTGGGAAATTAGGGATGTTGATTTGTGGGAAGTTTGGGATATTAATGGGTTGTGTTGGGTTGGGCAAAGTAGGCATCTGTGTGCTCGGTAATGGTGGAAATGCCGTGGGTTGCGGAAGAGTTGGCTGAGGAAGCGTTGGCTGAGGAAGAGTTGGCTGAGGAAGAGATGGAGGCAATGGTGGCATTGTGGTTTTGGGAAGTGGTGGGAACGTTGCTGTAACTGGTGGCTGAGTCCCTGGTGTTGATTGGAGAAGATAGCGGCGCGCAGAGAGACCTGTGAAAAAGCTTGTGAATGTCAGTGCAATGACCAGAGATGATAACCAGTGAGCCATTTTGGGGATTTAGGGTTTGAGTTATTACTAGAGAGAGAGGTGTATTTTGTTTTTGGGTTTGATGGTGAGTGATGATGGAGTGATTGTGAAGGAGTTTGTGTGCGTATTTATAAAGGAATTAGGGTTTGATGTTTGGTGATGTTTGATAAGAAGTAGGTGGAAGAAAGTTTGAAGAGGTTTATTGTTGGTGCAACTTATTAATAGTTACTTGTCCCACAAGAAATTTTAGTCACTAGAAGCTATCAACCATGACACACTTTTTGTCTGCTGACCAACCCCAGCCTGCAAATCAATGTTTCTAATTTCGAATTCGATATAAAATCCTGTTATAGGTAATATTATATATATATATATATTGTTCGAAAGGTAATATATAAAATATACTGAAAAATTAATATGGTAGAGAAAATTTCACAAACAAAAGAACTACTATAAATAAACTGTAAGAAACTTAAAGAGTTCATCACACATTGGTTTCTTGCAAAATGTGATTCAATTAGTATAAAAACGTTGGTTACAACTTACAATCTTTTAGAAGAAAATTCCACAGACAGGATTGAAATCGGTTCTGAACGAGAAGTTGTAACAAAATCAAAACCAGTTAATAGTTTTGAACCAGTTAATATGAAAAAAATCTTATATCGGTTTTGAACGAGAAGTAGTAACAAAATCAAAACCAGTTAATATATAGTTTGTTTATTTTTCTGAATCTACAGTGATTTTATTAACTTTCATTATTAAAAGTGAAATTGTCTAACTCTATGTAATTTTGAGTCTACAAGTTTTTATAAGAACACAAATATGTATAGTGATGATATGAAAGACACAAAGATAACAACAATATTATTATACCGCATAATTAAATAAGAAACCCTTTATAGTGTAAATTGTGAACCTATTACTGAGTACTTAATGCATTTAACAGACGACAATGTTTTTCCACAAAAAGATAAAAAGATAAAAATTACTAAAAAACAAGTAAGTGCTAATATTTTGTTCTTGCCTACTCGTAAACAAACATATATATACCACAAACACACAGAAATCATTATTGAAAAACATACGTAGAAATAACAATAACATTTCATATTGCATTTTAGAACAGAGAGAATAGTCTTTTGGTGGGAAAAACGGTGCGTTTTTGTAAGGTGGCGAATTTTCTAGCGATTTAGGGTTTCGTTTCTTTTTCAATAAGATGACGCCGCCGGCGGCCTCTCCGCCGCGGCTGAGTGCAATCAAGACAACAGACAGTGTGCAAGAGGGTTCACAGGAAGTTCGGGAACCAGTGGAAGTCACAGAAAGAGTTGTGGACAGTGTGGAGGAGGTTTCAGAAAACTCGGTGTCGAGGAGTGCAGAGCAAGGATATAGCTTGGGGTTACAAAAAAAAAGAAGGTTTCTTTCGCCGCCGTGGTGCAGAACAAGGGGATGATGCAGCGGTATGATTTCTCTGTCAAGGATGTGGATGGCATCTCCACGATCAAAATCCCGAAGGAAGTTTTGGAAGATTTCCCACCTTTATGGGAGGATCTATTAGTTGGAAAATTTCTGGATACAGTTTCGTTTGTCGGCAAAGTCTACATGTTGGTTAATAAGATCTGGCCTTTGTCGGATAAAACTGTAAAGATAGACGTGTTTGTGGTTGACAAAACTACCATGAAGTTCAGAATCAAAGATGCATGGGTCCGAAATAGGTATTGCGACGGAGGATGTGGAATCTTTTTGATGTCCCGATGATCGTTTCGAAGTGGAGTCCGATTGTAGAGGAGATGCAACCGGAGATGAAATCGATTCCGTTATGGATAGTGGTGAAGAATGTTCCTCGCTCTATGTATGCATGGAAAGGTCTAGCTTTCCTAACAAGCCCGATAGGTGAACCAAAGCATCTGCATCTAGATACTGAACTTTGTAAGAACTTTGAAGTGGCTAAGGTCTTCGTGGAGGTTGACCTCACAAAGCTACTGGCTAAGGCTTACAATTTTGAGGTGGAGGGTGTTGGCAGTATAAGTGTAACTTATGAGTACCCATGGTTACCATCGAAGTGTGAAAACTGTGAAATGTAAAACCGGCTTGATTTAGATTGGGAGAATCGTAAGAGAAGGTCACGACGAGACGAGCCATTTATCATTACGAAATACCGCATCTAGAAGGCCGTTTACTCCGAAAAAATGGGGTCACAAGAAGAATAAATGTGTATCGCAAAAGAGTGTGATTGAGAGTTTGCCAGTGAGGCCACCACAGGCAGAGCAGCAGATTACTTAACCACAGATCACAAACAAAGGAGAAGGCTCTGAGACTATTTCACCCCACCAGGAAACATGTCAGGTACAAGGAAAGGTAACAGACAAGGATATACCCAAACAAGTTGAGGAGCTAGAGGAAGGAGAATGGAATACCCCAACCAAACCGATTAAATCACCGAACAGAGGACCAAATGACTTAAAATTTGGGGAAGTGAGTATTCGCACTAACTCACGATTTGAAGCTCTAAGTGGAAAGGGAGATTATGAAGAACCAGATGCAAATGATGAGATGCAGGAGGTTAGAGAAGATTAACCCTCAGGAAAACAGAGCACTGATCCTTCTATCACGGCGGGAGAAAGCAAACCTGGTCCGGAGAAAATTACCACAGTAAACTCAACAAGAGGTTCCAAACCTCTTCGGGTGACTCAGATAGATAGTGAGCTTACTACGCGACAGTCCACAAGGCTTGCTGCGCGGGAAGCTTTGAAGAAAACGTCTGCTTCTCAAACAACTCATTGATGTCTGGATTTTTCTGGAACATTATAGGGTTTAACAAGAAACACAAACAGTTACTTGTTAAAGAATGGGTGAATAGCAGGAGTTTTGATTTTGGGTGTCTGATTAAGACGAAAGTAAAGGAGAGCAGGATCAACAAAGTTATGACAGTGGTTTTCAGAGATTGGTCTTATTTAACAAACTATGAACACCATCGCTTGGGAAGATTGCTGGTGATTTGGAAACAAAACGTGAGAGTCACGCCAATTTTCAAGTCATCACAGCTGATCTCGTGTTCTATTTGTGTGGAAGGACAGCTGGAGGAGATGCTCATAACATTTGTATACGCATCAAATCTGGCAGAGGAGAGAAAAGAGTTGTGGGATGATTTGAGATGCCATCAGAGTTCAGGTTTATATAGAGGTAAATCATGGCTAATTTGTGGTGATTTTAACGAAATATTAGAGGGTGAGGAGCACTCTCTTTATGAGAATAACCCGACCATACCAGTTGGAATGAGGGACTTCCAGGAGTTAGTGCAACAGTGTGAGCTGACAGACTTCAGTTTTCATGGCCCAAAATTTACTTGGTGCAATAAGCGAACCGATGGTGTGATCAATAAAAAACTGGACAGAACTCTAGTCAACAAAGAATGGATGGATATTCACAGGCTCTCTTACTGCGTATTTGAGGCTGGGGGTATTTCAGACCATTTAAGATGTAGAGTTATGCTTCGGGGAGAAGAGCAGAGGTAGAAAAGGGCCTTCAAATTCACAAATACCTTAGTGGATCACCCGGGCTATAAGGATGGAGTAAAAGGGATGTGGAAAACTACTCAACCGCTCTTTCACTCCACATCGGCTCTTTACAGAATGTAAAAGAAGTTGAAAGCTTTGAAACCAATGTTACGAAGGATGGGGAGAAAGATGCTGAGCGATATCACAAAGAAAACAAAAGAGGCTTACACTAGACTCTGCGAAATGCAGGACACCACGATGAGAACTGCCTCAGATCAGGCAGTTGAAGAGGATAGGAAAGCATATGAGAGATGGAGCCACCTCGCATACATAGAGGAAAAATACCTCCGGCAGAAAGCAAAATTATTTTGGCTGAAAGCAGACGATCAAAACACAAAAGCTTTCTACAAAGCTGTAAAAACCAGGGCATTGAGGAACAAAATCAGTGAGATAACTCGATCGGATGGGACCATTGTATCTGACTCGGAGGGAATTAAAGCAGAGGCAGTGACCCACTTCAGAGATTTTTAAACTATAAACCACAAGAATACACTCTCTGGGAAGTAGAGGACCTGGAGAGCTTTGTGGACTTTAGGTGTGCAGACGCAGACAAGCAGCTGCTCACTCACGAAGTAAGCACAGCTGAAATTAGAAACGCCCTATACTCTATGCCAAGAGACAAAGCCCCAGGTCCCGACGGATATACGGTCGAGTTTTTCAAGGAATCCTGGTCTATAGTAGGACAAGACCTCTTAACCGCAGTACAATCTTTTTTCAAGTTGGGGTTTCTACCAAAAGGTATAAACTCAACTATTTTGGCCCTGATACCAAAGAAAAAGGAAGCACTCACTATGAAGGACTATAGACCAATTTCTTGCTGCAATGTCATATACAAACTGATCTCAAAAATCCTTGCAAACCGGTTAAAGATCCTCCTCCCAAAGTTCATTGCTCCTAACCAATCAGCTTTTGTCAAGAATAGACTGCTCATGGAAAACCTCCTTCTAGCTACTGAGTTGGTAAAGGACTACCATAAGGAAAACATCTCTGCAAGATGTGCTATGAAGATAGACATCTCCAAAGCTTTTGACTCAGTGCAATGGGAATTCTTGCTCAATACCCTGAGGGCTATGGATTTTCCGGCTGAATTTGTGCACTGGATACACCTTTGTATCTCATCTGCTTCTCTCTCAGTCCAAGTAAATGGTGAGTTAGCTGGATACTTTGGCAGCGCAAGAGGTCTATGGCAGGGCTGCTCCCTCTCCCCCTATCTGTTCGTGATTTGTATGAATATCTTATCTAAACGTTTAGATAAAGCAGCTCAGGAGAATCTCGTCAGTTACCATCCGGGATGCAAAGAGCTCAATGATGTGTTGGTTGTGGTGTGTCGAGGGTTGTCAAGTTTTACCCTAATTGAAATCAATAGCCGCAAGTGCACAGCTGATCGATTGTAGTACTTAGAGATCAAATCCACAGGGAAGGAGGATCTTTTCCTGCAAAAAGCCTTTGAAATAAGTTAAAGTAAGGAAGTCTAGAACAAAAACGGTTTAGTGGGGGTTTGATAGTGTGTTTAAAATCTAAAAACGAAATCTTAAAAGAGAATACGGAAATTAAATGGCGTAATAACTAAACTTAACGAAAATAACTAAAAATGATAAAAACGGATATTCTAATGCTTAAATGAAAATGAACTAAAAAGGAAAGACAATATTGAACTAAAGCAGAAAATCGGTGTAAATCAATGGAGAAGAAAACGTTGGGCTTCAGGGAAGTTTTCTTAGGGGTACGAACGATTCAAAACATTGCTAGAGAGGAAATTTTGTAAGATCTTAGCTTAAACTTTTCGAACTGGAGTCACGGACGTATGAATACACCACTGTTGTGATCATAGACAACTCTCTCTCTCAACCCTGACCAGTAGGTTTCCACTCTGGCCCTGGAAGAGAAGAGATGCATTATGTTTAAGACTCGTCCTAATTCACAAATCGCCCATAGGTAGGTTTCCACTCCTATGTTTGTTTTGCTCTCCCAAACTAGATCTGATACCTGATGAACACTTTCGTGTCACCAAGCATCTGGATCAGATTGTAGTTCATGACGCTACCCTCATGCAGTACAAACGAATTCAGAAGAAAAAGTTCTAAGATTCAGCTCAATAGCCAATGGAATCCTCACCGAACATATATATCCCCATCGAAAATCCCTTAATCCCAACAATAAAACTACTCAGACATAATGAACGAAATCAAAGACATAATATTAAGAAGTAGAATAGAAACCAAAATTGAAAAAGAAAGAACAAGGGTTCAAGAGAACAAATCTCTCTCTCCTTAAAAGCTAAAGCAAAAACAATGAAAGTATGAAGTAAATAATTCGGTTCTCTAAGGTTACACGATTTCTAGGGCTCCTAAGACATGTATTTATAGTGCTCAAGACCTCTCTAGACGTCACTTAGGGTTTCTCCAAATGTGGGCTTCAGAAATGGGCTTTTTGGGCTCGGAGATTGAAGGCCGCGGTCGGGAGTGCTCTGACCGTGGGGAATGGGTGGTTTGCGCGGTCGGGATGCTCCTGACCGCGGGAAATTGCTTGTTGGCCGTGGGTGGAAGTGCTTGCCGGCTGGTTTACGGGACATCTTGCTCTTCGCGTATCTTTTGATTGAACCGTTGGATTTCCAAGCTGTAAAGTGCACTGGAAAGCTGATACTTCCATCTTTAAGGTCTCCAAATTTGAGCTGGATCAGACGGTGAGAAGGCCTTCAATCAGGGGTGAACTTCTGACGGTTTGACTCTGAGCTGAAATCTGGTTTTCTATCAATTTTGTTAAGCTTTTCCCTAAGTTACCTGAAAAGAGTCTTGAAACTACAAATACTAGAAAAACGTAATAAAAGTACTTAAAAGCAATTAAAAACATAGAAAAAGTATTTCAAAACGATCCATAAAAGTGGTCAAAATACGGTGTTATCAACTCCCCCAGACTTAAACCTTTGTTTGTCCTCAAACAAAGCAAAAGCCAAAACTGGTTAAGTGAAAACAAAAATAGGGAATGCACAAATCTCATAGACATGAACTCCTAAACTAGGACCAAAGATAGTGCATCAATCCACAACTTAGTCTAAAAAATTCTCACTAATGCACAAGAGATACTAGTCCACTTTTTCCGTCATGCAAAACTTAAACAATTTAAATCTTGATTCCAGTCAATTAGCTCTCTACATTCATTAAGTTCAATAGTGAGTTCTCATTAAAGACATCATCCAGGGTAGACGGCGTTTGGCATTAAAGGGCTATTTAAGTGGTGGAGTTAAAGTGTTTTGGGTTACCTGAAGATCTGGAGGATGCAAGATAATATGCAAAACCGCAAGAGAGATAAGGACCTGTTGATGACCACAGTTTTCAATCACTTCTTCTTGCCAGATGTTGTTGCATAATCCTTCCTCCTCTGTTGTAAACAGCTGTTCCCTCAGACTTAGATTTTTTTCGGGAATCAGAAAACAATCTCCAAAACTCCATAAAATCGAACTCCAGTTGCCTTGGGACTTAAAATTCGACCTCTCTACACTCTCTAAGGCTTTTATCTCCTTACTTTTCTTATTTTCAGATTTTTTTTTTTTGAAAGGAAATGCCTTTTAAAGAGAGAGAGACTAGAGGACGAGATTGTACCAAAATTTGAGATTTTTCTAAGGCAAACTGGGTTTCTCTTGTATTGAATCCTTCCGAAACTTTTCCGGCAAATCGCAGGTCTCTGTCCTTGGTGACTGAAAACTGCGTCGTTCCTCTTTCTCTCCAACGTTTTTGCACTTATCTGCATATAAGACAATAGAAAACAAGAGTGCATGTGGTTTGAAAGAGGATTGGTTAAGGTGGGGAACTAGCTAAAGATGAACTAGCCATTCAAGATCAACAGAGAGTGGTAAAAGGATAAAGGAGTCCTGAATTTATGATTCGTTTCCCTGGTCTAATGCTTCAATGAGAAAATTAAGTCCAAATTAAGTCCAAATAAAACAGAGCTAGTGTATCCCTTCATCTAAATCGAAATCATTCAAATTCCTCTGGGGTACTTCGTTTCAAATGTGCTTAGCTACCGCCTAGTCTAGTCCTAAATCATGAATGAGCAAGTCACTAGGAACAGTCTAAAGCACACAGTCAACTATCATTGATTCATGTTCACCATTCCCTTTTAAAACGTATTTTTTTTTGAAAACCCATTTTGAAAAACTTTAAGGAAAATGCAAAAAATGAAGATAATGCAAGACTCATGAAAGAAAAGTGGTTAGAAAGGGATGAAATCCTCCCCCAGACTTAAATCACACTGTCCTCAGTGTGAAACAAGTCGAGATTGGATGAGAAAAATGCATAGATAATCGAATTGGTAAGGACAAAGAGAACTTACCTGGATCCGGGATGCTGGTGGAGATGAACCGGATTCATTCGACGAGGTTTAGGGAAGGTGATTAGGTGGTGATGGAGGTGGTGGAAGGTGATGAATGAGGTGGAGGGTGATTGGTGAGGTGGAATGGGGTGAAAGGGGTGGTTTGGGTCGGGTTTGGTGTCAACGACCAAGTGCCGCGGTCAGGGGCTGCACGACCGCGGCAATCAAGCACTTGGCCGCGGTCAGGACTACGCGACCGCGGCCGACAGTAGGTTTCCCGCGGTCAGAACGTCTGCGACCGCGGGGGCTTATATCGCGGCCTCTTCCTGCTTCTCCTTGGTTCCTGTTGGGCCGAGCAGTCAGGTACCATCCTTCTTTTTGGTTTTTTCGGGTTTTTTGATTTTTTTTGGCTTTTTTTTATTTTATAAGAAACACCTGAAACTAAGAAAAAGAAAGAGATCAAAAGAAAAAGAAAGAAAAATCCTAAAGAAAACAATACCTAAATGGGTTGCCTCCCATTAAGCGCTTCTGTTTTAAGTCGTTTAGCTCGACTTTTGGTGTTGGACGTGACTTATTCCAATGTAGAAGACCTTGTCCTGAGACAAGTCTTTTTCGACATCTCCTTGCTTTGCTTAGCAGGTTCTTCGTCACTCCAAAGTTCTTCTTCAAACTCTTCTGCTGCAGAATATTTTCCTGCTTTGCTGTTGTATGGGACAGCTTCTGTGAAGACATCTTTGTCGATATTAGCAAATGAAATCTTCCGGTTTGGCCAGTCCATTATAGCTCAGGAAGTTGCTAGAAAAGACCATCCCAGAATCACTGGATATGTTGCATCTCTCGTTTCGACAATGTAGAAGTCGACATGCACTATGCAATCTCCTATTCTCAAAGGAATTTCATGAGCTATTCCTTGAGGTGTTGCATTAGAATCATCAGCTAGGCTAATCTTTGCTCTAGTCCTGCGCAGGTGTTTGATACCAAGTCTCAAAGCAATTGCCTTGGACATCATGTTAAGACAAGCTCCAGAATCACATAGCACTTTTTTAAACATCTCTCCTCTAATAGAACAAGAGATAAGAAACTGACCTGTAGTCTTGACCTTATGGAGAATTCGAACTTGCCTTTCTCTGTAGGTGTTGGCTGGTGTCTCAAACGCAGAATAGGATTCACAAAAGAAGGCTGCAGCATCATATTCAATGATTGAATCAATGTACGACATCTTTATTTCGCTGTACGTCTGGTCCTCTTGGATTGAAGAGTCAACTGAATCTTCAACACATTTCTTTGCCATCATACAAGGTAATGATTCCTGCCAATCTGGTTCTTCATCTGAAACTTGGTTTTCTTCTTCCTGAGTTGTTTTTTTAGGTGCTGGAGGCTGAAGTTGGGACAGAAGGTGTATTATTTTCCTATCAAAACCCGGAGGAACATCTGAACGACCAACTCCCGCGGTCAGAGAAGTCGCGATCGCGGGAAAAGTGCTCTTGGCCGCGGTCAGGACGCTTGGACCCGCGGCTCCGGATATGACTTGCTCAAAGTCCGTTTTTTCCTTCTTGTACTTGACACGAACTCCTCCTGCATCTTTATTAGGTAGACTAGCATCATATGAACTCATACCAGGGCGTTGATGTGCATCTTCATCAGGATCTTTGGGAGATTTCTTAGAAAACCTCTCAAATTGCTCAATGTTGGGCATCTGCTCCATTCTTGCATCAATCTCCCGTGCTTTGAGCTCGAGTTTATTCAGTCTGTGCTCGATCTCTTGCAACTCTTCGTCTGTCTTCTCTCTATACCAGGAGGTGGACTCTCTGACTTCTTTAATCTCCTGTTTTGATTCAACAATATCACTTGAGTTTTGTATGATGTCATACCCTTGTCTTGTCTGCTCTGTTGCGACTTGGTGGATCATCCCAGCTAGTGCTTGTGAGTCCTTGTGGGTTTGCTCTTCCAAAACTCGAATATGGTTGGCCATATCATCGAATTTTCTGTTGAACTCTTCAAAGATTGAATCAATTTTCTTGAGCAGGGTGTTTTCGGCGAGAATCTGCTGATCAAGGAATTGGTTTATCATTCCTTCGAGGCGTCCCAAACGTCTGCTGATCCTCAAGTTGTCCTCTTGCTGACTAGGGTTCTGAAGTGGAGGATTATAGGCGTGTGGCTCGAAGTAGGTCGGAGGAGGGCCATAAGGATATTCCCGGCGTCGAACAGTCTCTCTGCGCCGGTGGTAAGGGTGGTTTGGCTGGCTGTATCGATCCATGTAGCTAGGATTTCGGACTTGGTGTTCTTCTCTGCGTCTGGTGGCTTGAGGAGTGTTATAGAAACCTTCCTCATTTTGTTTATTTCGATTTATAGGATCCATATCTTCTGAAATGAAAACAAAATAACCGAAAAATGGAAAGTTGCAGAAAAGGGGGTTCTAGAGTCGATTTACTAACCTTTCTCGGGGTTTTGCAGAAAAGAAAACGCGTGCCTTCCCCGGAAACGGAGCCAAAAACTTGATGTGTTGGTTGTGGTGTGTCGAGGGTTGTCAAGTTTTACCCTAATTGAAATCAATAGCCGCAAGTGCACAGCTGATCGATTGTAGTACTTAGGGATCGAATCCACAGGGAAGGAGGATCTTTTCCTGCAAAAAGCCTTTGAAATAAGTTAAAGTAAGGAAGTCTAGAACAAAAACGGTTTAGTGGGGGTTTGGTAGTGTGTTTAAAATCTAAAAACGAAATCTTAAAAGAGATTACGAAAATTAAATGGCGTAATAACTAAACTTGACGAAAATAACTAAAAATGATAGAAACGGATATTCTAATGCTTAAATAAAAATGAACTAAAAAGGAAAGACAATATTGAACTAAAGCTTGAAAGAAAATCGGTGTAAATCAATGGAGAAGAAAGCGTTGGGCTTCAGGGAAGTTTTCTCAAGGGTATGAACGATTCAAAACATTGCTAGAGAGGAAATTTTGTAAGATCTTAGCTTAAACTTTTTGAACTGGAGTCACGGACGTATGAATACGCCACTGTCGTGATCATAGACAACTCTCTCTCTCAACTCTGACCAGTAGGTTTCCACTCTGGCCCTGGAAGAGAAGAGATGCATTATGTTTAAGACTCGTCCTAATTCACAAATCGCCCATAGGTAGGTTTCCACTCCTATGTTTTTTTTGCTCTCCCAAACTAGATCTGATACTTGATGAACACTTTCGTGTCACCAAGCATCTGGATCAGATTGTAGTTCATAACGCTACCCTCATGCAGTAAAAACGAATTCAGAAGAAAAAGTTCTAAGATTCAGCTCAATAGCCAATGGAATCCTCACCGAACATATATATCCCCATCGAAAATCCCTTAATCCCAACAATAAAACTACTCAGACATAATGAACGAAATCAAAGACATAATATTAAGAAGTAGAATAGAAACCGAAATTGAAAAAGAAAGAACAAGGGTTCAAGAGAAAAAATCTCTCTCTCCCTAAAAGCTAAAGAAAAAACAATGAAAGTATGAAGTAAATAATTCGGTTCTCTAAGGTTACACGATTTCTAGGGCTCCTAAGACATGTATTTATAGTGCTCAAGACCTCTCTAGACGTCACTTCGAGTTTCTCCAAATGTGGGCTTCAGAAATGGGCTTTTTGGGCTCGGAGGTTGAAGGCCGCGGTCGAGAGTGCTCTGACCGCGGGGAATGGGTGGTTTGCCGCGGTCGGGATGCTCCTGACCGCGGGAAATTGCTTGTTGGCCGTGGGTGGAAGTGCTTGCCGGCTGGTTTACGGGACATCTTGCTCTTCGGGTATCTTTTGATTGAACCGTTGGATTTCCAAGCTGTAAAGTGCACTGGAAAGCTGATACTTCCATCTTTAAGGTATCCAAATTTGAGCTGGATCAGACGGTGAGAAAGCCTTCAATCAGGGGTGAACTTCTGACGGTTTGACTCTGAGCTGAAATCTGGTTTTCTATCCATTTTGTTAAGCTTTTCCCTAAGTTACCTGAAAAGAGTCTTGAAACTACAAATACTAGAAAAACGTAATAAAAGTACTTAAAAACAATTAAAAACATAGAAAGAGTATTTCAAAACGATCCATAAAGTGGTCAAAATACGGTGTTATCACTCAACCTAACACATTTGTGTTTTGCTGTGATTTAATGGTCTTCACTGAGGGAATAAGCAGTCCATTCTTGGGTTTTAAAGTC